GTTTTTTTTTTTTTTTTTTTTGCAAATAAGTTAGTTTATACCTACCTCTCTTTAGTAAAAGGGGGAATGGAGAGAGGAAAAAAAGTGTTTCAGAAGAAAATTACAGTGCATTTGGGACCAGTAGTCGGTGTAATGGCTATGTCGCCAGACTCCCATTAGTCAACTACAGTTCGAGTCCCAGACCCAGTGGCTTAAACTCATGCCGGGCTTATGTTCTTGTGTGCCCAAGATCCTGAGACGAGAATGGAGGAGAAGGGGTTGTGGTGTGGCCATCCCCCCTGGGGGGTGATTTCTAATTTTCTGTCTCTCTATCTTTCTGGCGAGCACACGCACCCAATAGCATAAACCTCTCCAAAAAAGAAGAAGAAGAAAATTACAGTGCATTGTTACTAGATTCTAGCTCTGTCTGTACTTTTTGCTTAAGATCTTTTGTGAGCCAGGGCCAGCAGGTGGTGTGGTGGTTAAGGCAGGGCCGACCATCGCTCAAGTCCTGGACCTGGTGGCTTGCTTCCTCGCTTTCTCTCTCTCTCTCCCTCTGTCTCTTTTTGGGGAGCACACACACCTTGTAGCAAAAATAATAAATACATAAAATTAAATAAGTATTTCTCTAAAAAAAATCTTATGTGAATCAATAAAATGTGGGAAAAAAAGTTTAGTATGGAAGGGAGGGAGGGGAAAGGGGAAGGAAAAAACTGGTAGAAGTAATCTTAACTGACAAACAACGAGACGCTATCGGCTGATGATAATGTATATGGTAAAATCTTTGTCTTGACTGACATGCATGGTATTTGTATTGGAAAAAGAAACGTACACTATAAAGAGATGTGATTAAGTGTAAATAAATTTTAAAAAAAGAAAATGCATATTGTGAAAAAAATGCATGAATAGCACATTTTTGGGGCACCGAAATTAACTTGTATTTTCACTCAATTTTTCCACAAACTTTCTGAAGTCCTTTACTATACTAAAATTCATACACAAATGTTAGTTTTACTGTAGGAGAATTTTGTAGATAAGATTAAAGCTATCTAAAAGCTAAAGTTTAATAGTTAAGTTTCAAGGGGCTGGCAGGTAGCATGGCCGACCATGGTTCAAGTCCCAGACTTGGTGGCTTGCTTTCTCACTTTCCTTCTCCCTTGCTCTGTCTCTCTCTGGTCAAAATGAAAATAAATAAATAAAGTTATATAAAATAATTCTTTTAAAAAATTAAGTTTTAAAATGTATTTGGAACCAGCAGTTGGCATAATGGCTTTGTCACTGGACTCCCATGTAGTCAACAGTGGTTCGAGTCCCAGACTCAGTGACTTAAACTCATGCCAGGTGCTGTGTGTACGTGCCCAAGATCCCAAGAGGAGCATGGAGGAAAAAGGATTATGGCGTGGCTATCCCCCGTGGGGGGTGATTTCTCGCTTTCTATCTCTCTGTCTCTCTCTGTCTTTCTGGCAAGCACATGCACCCGATAGCAAAAACTAAACCTTCAAAAAAAAAAAAAAACAAAACTTTGTATGGGTGCCAGCAGGTGGTGTGGTGGTTGGGAGTGCTGGACTCTCACATGGTTGGTCAACCAAGGTTTGAGTCCCAGACCTGGAGGCTTGCTTTCTCACTTTCCCTCTCGCTCTCGCTCTCTCTCTCACTCTATCCCTCTCTGGTCAAATTTAAATAAATGGATCAAATAAAGTTAAAATAAAATAATTCTTAAAAAAGAACTTATTTTTTAAAAATGTATTTATGGGAACCAGCAGTTAGCGTAATGGCTATGTCACTGGACTCCCATGTAGTTGACTGCGGTTCACATCCCGGACCTGGTGGCTTAAAAGTCACACCGGGCGTGTGTGTGTGCATGCCCAAGATCCCGAGAGGAGGGAGAATGGAGAAGGGATTGCGGCGTGGCCATCCCCCCTGGGGGGTGATTTCTCGCTTTCTGTCTCTATGTCTCTCTCTGTCTGACGAGCGCATGCGCCCTGTAGCAAAAACCTCTCCAAAAAATTAAAAAAGAAAAAAAAGAAAAAAAGTGTATTTATGAGGGGCCAGCAGGTGGAGTGGTGGTTGAAGGCACTGGATTCCCACATGGCTGACCACGGTTCGAGATGCAGACCTGGAGGCTTGCTTTCTGGCTTTCAATTTCTCTATCTGTCTCTTTCTGGTTAAATTTAAAAAAACAATGATAACAAAAGGAATTAAATGAATAAATCTTTTTTTTTTTTTTAATTTACTTATGGAGCCAGCAAGTGACATAGTGGTTAAAGGCACTGGACTCCCACGTGGCTGACAGTGATTTAAATCCCAGACCTGGCAGCTTGCTTTTTCACTTTCCCTCTTTCTCTCTTGCTCTGTCCCTCTCTTGTCAAATTAAAAATAAAATTAAATAAAGTAATTCTTTTTAAAAATATATATTTATAAGTTCGAGGGCAAATGTGCTCACTAGAGAGAAACAGACACAGGGAGAGGGAGAAATAACCCCGCCAGCAGGGTGTGGTCACACTGTAACCCCGTCTCCATCTTCTCATTCTGTTAGAATTTGGGGCACCCACGCACCTGTGTCTGATGTGCTCCTCAAGCGTCTGGCACTGGGATTTGAACCACACGGCCGGTCACGTGGGATCTGGCACCCTTAAACATTAGGCAATGGGACTGGCTCAAGTTATTTTATCTTTAACATTTTGCCAGAGGGTTTGTACTCCGCAGAGAGAGACAGGAGAAAGAGAGAGGAGAGACAGGACGTCAGCAGCTGGCAAGGTGGGTGAGGTGCTGGACTCCCACATGGCCTACCATGGCTCGAGTCCCAGACCTGGCAGTTTGT